ATATTTCAAATTTCAGCGTTTTTGGTTTATGTTATTGAATTAAATTTATTATTATATTATTATTTTTTATGATTATTTATTAAATTATAATTTATGATTTTGTGTTTCAAGTTTTATTCTAACCGGGATGTTTACTAGACTCTTGTTCGGACAGATTTCAGTGAGTTATTCCTAAAAATTACAGGCCTACAATAAAAAAAATACATATTTCCATTCAAAAAAATGTACCGCTTTGAGCACAGAAATATGGACATAATCAGACCGCTAGGGAGTTTAAGCAGGGCTTACAATTTCGAATCTAGACCTACTAACCATGCACAAACCTTACTTTCCACCAGTTGCCCCACCCAACTTTGCCCACGTTGCCTTTGGAACTTCACTTTTGCTTTTCTTTCCTGTTGGCTGGGTATACAATTGTGCCCCACTACCCAGCTGTCTAAGATCATGGTCACTGACTGACGTCTCTCACCCGATCTAGGTCAGCTGCTCCGTATACCACTGATCCTGGCAATGTTTATGGACTACATGCGAAGAAGAAACTGGAAGTCGGAAACCAGCAGTTGGCTTCACAACGAGGCTTGGAGCGCAAGTGGAATGCAAATCGATCCCCAGGGACTGGGGAGCGCATTGCAAGCCACCTGCTTCATTGCAAGCCACCCGCTCCATCTGTGCTCGCCACAAAGGGATTTTCCCTCGCATTTGGCGAGCAAGCGAGCGGAAATTTCAAGCCCTGCTTTAAGTCTTTGACATTTGAAGTACCTACAGCTAATCTGTTATGGTTTTATAGTCTTATACTGTATCAGTATTAGTGTGGGGTGCCAAAGGATTCCCTTAATTTGCAGGGATTTCTTCTCACTTTCTGTTTTGGCTATGGGACAGTTAGTGAAGGCAAATCTCCCCAATGGAATACAGATGGCAAAAAACCTACAGGGGTTATAACCTCATCCAAAATAAAAAAAAAAGTTTTGCCTATTGTTCTTCTTTAACCATCAAAAAATTCAATGGCAGCCACAAAGAGAAAAAGGGAGAGGGCAGACCTGTCTAGTCCCCCTAATGAATGAGATGTGTCTGTCAATCAATACAGTATGTGCAAGTAGTAGTTCTGTATATAATGGCTTAATAACATAGAAACACAGGACAGTGACGGCAGGTCCATCGAGTCTACCCCATTTTTTTGGATTTATATTTGTTTTTGTTTAAACTTTTTTGGATGAGTACCTACCTCGGCTGGAAGCTTATTCCAACTACGATTTTGATACAATAATATTTTCTAAGATTAGTTTTGAGCTTCCTGCTAGTTTGAGATCAGGTCCTTATGTTCTTGATCTTGACTTCATATTGAAAATACTGCCCTCCTGAACTTTATTCCCTCCCTTGATGTGTTTAATGGTTTCAATCATGTCTCCCTTATCCCTTCTTTCCTCCAGACTGTGCATACTAATTTCCTGAAGTCTCTCCTGATATATTTTGTCCCTCAGACCTTTCACCATTTTTTTTTGCCTATCTCTTTATCTTATCAATATCTTCACTGATAAATTGTGTTCCCAGCCAAAACTGGTTAGCAACCACACAATATGGGACCATTCTACTGAATCAAAGGCTTTACAGATACCACCGTTTCCTGAATTAGTATGTTTAGTCTGTATGTTGGTGAAAAGATTTCTAATATTATTATTAGTCGCTCTGCCAGATATGACACCTATAACTTTTAATTAATAATTTAATAATGTTCCTCAGCTATGCAGGAAGTATTTTATCTAGGTGTGACAGACACTCTCAGCCTCATCCTGCACAAAGCTTTTCCAGCTTGCGGGACAACAATCTAAGCACCTTTTCATCCTCTCATCATTAGCTAAAGTGTTGTTCAGCTTTCAAATAATGCTTTCCCAGTATAGACATTGTCTTAAAAGCATCCAAGACAACATTTCAGTAGGCCCAAGTCTTTTATGTAATATGCCACAAAAAGATCAATGATCTCAGAGCATTCCTGCAAACCAACGGGGCCTTAAAACCATAGAGAGTGCTTTCTGGGTGGAAGCAGTAGTCTCTTCTCAGAAAACTGAAAAGCCCCCATCTGAGTCAGCTCTGTACTTAGCGAAGATCCTTCATGCTGATCAGAAAGCCCTAGCTCTGACTCAGCATGGGGAGTGTTGGACCTCTGAAAATTGGATATTGATTCTGTTCACTAAAATTCCTTAAAGTCTGTTTTTTTTTCCTCCAAATAAGTAATTTTCTAGCAAAAAAAATCTGATTTTTACATGCATGTGAGAAATGTCAGAATTGGCCTGGGGGTCAAGTGGTTAAATTGGAAGTTGGGCTTTAAAATAATAGCAACAGATACACTTTTTTGTTACTGATTTATTAATTTACTATACACATTGTCACCACACTTGAGGCAGCGGAAGCAAATGAGGCACAATACACTGAACTCAATTCTTCTTTCAGACAAGAGATGTGTGGACAGATGCTTCATTAGCTACTTCCAGCTCATTGAAATAAGGAATCCTAAAATGCAAATCTGGCGTATTATTGAAAGAATCAGAGGTCAACTGTTACTGCAGACAATGGTAGGAAATCTTACAAAAATGACTCAAATGTTGACACTTCCTTCTCCTGCTGGCCAAGGGCCAGATGCTTTGATATAACAATGTCTTGTTATTGCAACTAATTTACAGTGAAATACTGACTTCCAGTTATGCCACAATGCTGAAAGGTGTTGTGCGTCTTCAACTCAACCCTTCAACTTGACCTTGTCTACCAAAAATGTTAAATGATAAACTTCTTTATCATTTAACATGCCTCAAGTGTGGTGACAATGTGTATAGTAAATTAATAAATCAGTAACAAAAAAGTGTATCTGTTGCTATTATTTTAAAGCCCAACTTAACTTCCAATTTAACCACTTGACCCCCAGGCCAATTCTGACATTTCTCACATGCATGTAAAAATCAGATTTTTTTTGCTAGAAAATTACTTAGAACTTCTAAACATTATATATTTTTTAAGCAGGGGCCCTGGAGAATAAAATGGTGGTTGTTGAACTTTTTTATGTGGCATATTTACGAAGCGGTTTATCAACACAGATTTGGAGGAAAAAATAGACTTTAAGGAATTTTAGTGAACAGAATAAATATCCAATTTTCAGAGGTCTAACACTCCCCATGCTGAGTTAGAGCTAGGGCTTTCTGATCAGTATGAAGGATCTTCGCTAATTACAGAGCTGACTCAGATGGGGGCTTTTCAGTTTTCTGAGAAGAGACTACGGCTTCCACCCAGAAAATCTGTTGTAAAGTTTCCTGTTTGCTAAGTACTAGTTCTCATGCATGTGGATGTTTTTACAGCTGCTGCTTTTGGTGTTTTTTTTTTTTTCTACAGCCAGTAAACTCCCCAGCATGTTATCGTATGGGGTTGATTTACTGAAACCAATCAGCTTCCAGGTTTTATTGTCAAAGTTTAATTGAACAAACTGAAGTTAGAAGCTGATTGGCTACCATGCACAGCTGCACCAGATTCTGAGTGCTCCAGTTTTAGTAAATCTCCCCCTATGTGTCCATGCACACATAGGCTTTACCCCCCGGTCACATCAAACACTATTTGAAATCATCAGACTTACAGAGAAGTCACACAATTTCAAATTTGGATGACATGCTGTTTTCAGGTGCGATTTGCAAGACATCTGATACAGATGTCTATGCTAATTGCACCAAATGTAGTGCATGTACTACTTTAGAAATCAGTGCGGTTCTGACCAAGTAGGAATTGCACTGATATGACCGCTATAATTGTGGACAATAGGCTGCGATTTGGCTTGTGATTTGCAAGTCGCATGGCATGCAAATCACATGCCAATTCGCATCCAGCGTGACCGGGGTCTTATTCAGCGTTTGTTGGCAGGGGCGTTTTTTGGCTGGAAAAAAACCCAGAACTAGTGGGTTTCTAGAGGAGTTTTTTTTTAGGTGTAAAAATGTTCTAAAACTGAAAAACGCAGTAAAACGTTGCAAACCAGCGTTTAAAGCAGTGCTCATGCACTAACAAGAGACAGGCTGATAGGTGAAAAGAGCAGTGTGACATAGCTTATCAGTTTGCTGCTTAATTCACATTGTTAAGTCACAGACGGGGAGTATGACCAGTAAGGGATGCTTAAATATAAAGGGAGACAATACAGCAACAATGCAGTTCAATACAAGAGAGTTAGGAGGGCCCTGCTTCTTGGAGCTTACAATCTAATAGGCAGGGGCTGGTGGTACAAAAGGTAATACCTGTGGAGGATGGACTGCTAGGAGGAATAGAAGATTCCATTATTAGCTGAAGGCAGGATAGGCTTCCCTGAAGCAATAGGTTTTCAGAGATCGCCTAAAAGTGGGCAGAGTAGGCGATAGTCTGATAGATTAGGGTAGAGAGTTCCAGAGGATGGGGGAGGCTCTGGAGAAGTCCTAGAGATGAGCATGGGAAGAGGAGACAAGGGAGCTAGAGAGTAGGAGGTCGTGCGAGGAGCGGAGAGGACGGTTTGGGTGATATTTGGAGACAAGATTGGTGATGTAGTTTGGGGCAGAGTTATAAATGGTTTTATGTTATTGTTAATGTTTTGAATTTTATCCGTTGGGCAATTGGAAGCCAGTGGAGGGATTGGCAGAGAGGGGTGGCAGATATGGAACGGTTAACCTCCCTAGCGGTCTGATTATGTCCATATTTCTGTGCTCAAAGCGGTACATTTTTTTTGCATGGAAATATGTATTTTTTTATTGTAGGCCTGTAATTTTTAGGAATAACTCACTGAAATCTGTCCGAACAAGAGTCTATTAAACATTCCGGATATGATAAAATTTGAAACACGAAATCATAAATTATAATATAATAAATAATCATAAAAAAATAATAATATAATCAAACCAAAAACACTGAAATTTGAAATATAGCGCCAAGTTCACACATCACTGAGCAAAGTCGCAAAATCGTTTTCAGTGTCTGATGATGAATTTCCCCACAAATCATTATCACTCAATTCTGCAAGTGGTTCTGATTTACTATCACTGTTCTCTAGCCAGTCTAAAACCAATTTTGACCTAAAGGAACGCTTTTTGGACGCCATGGATATTTCTCAGTTTCCAGGCAGAAAGAACAGTAAAAATGCAGGCAGGGCACAGGACAAAGCACTCGGGACAAAATGTATGTGAAATGGTTTGATACAGTTGTGTTTTACTATGTGATTTTAGTGTATTTAGTGAATGTCACTTTTTGTCATTTTCAAATTTCCCGCCAGTTCCGTCCCGACTTCGCAGGGGATGGAACCCAGATGACAGATGCCGGCATCCGCCGGATTACATTGCTGGGGACACTGCAGGAGGGACATCGCGGGAGCACAGGACAAGGTAAGAGAAGAACAGATGCCGGAGCAGCGCTGCATGGTAAGCCCGAGTGTAGCTCGGGGTTACCGCTTTTGGTACTGAAACTTTACCCCGAGCTACACTCGGGAATACCTCCAGGGAGGTTAATAAGGTGGATGAGTCTGGCAGCAGCCTTCTTGATAGACTGAAGAGGGGATAGCCTGCGATGAGGTAGGCCACAGTAACCGCATTGAGGAGGGAATTACAATAGTCAAGGCGAGAGATAACCAGGGAGTGAATAAGTTGCTTAGTAGTTTCTGAGGTTAAAAATGGGCATATCTTGGAGATGTTGTGGGGTGCAGTCTACTAAAGTCTAATTTTTTTTTTATTAAAATAACAAACATGTTATACTCACCTGCTCAGCCCAGATGCTGGCAAGCTTGGCTGTTCCTCTTTTTCGTGTGTCCCACAAAACACATGAAAAAGAGGAGAAGCCAAGTTTGCCAGCAAGGGACCTGAGAAGAGGAGGACCAGGGCTGAGTAAGCCGTTTGCCATGGGGGCATATTGTGTCTGCTCGCTCCCGAGCTGTGTGTCCATAGAGCTGCACTCCATAGACATACACAGCGGGATTTAGCCCTGTCCCCCATTTCCTCTCCATTGCATTTGGTTCCTGCTGCTGCCCGAGTCCCTGTGTGACGAGGAAGAGAGGGGAGAAGAGATGTAGCCGTGTACAGCACTGGATTTCAAAAAAATCTGATATGCCCTGCCAGCATACAAGTTACCACTGTTAACTTTGTTTTCTGAAAGAGCTAGTTTCTTATAAAGGTCCCCCTGGCAGCCCTCCAGAGGATTTACCCCCCCCCCCTTCCTGACCAGGCCATTTTTTGAGATATGGCACTGCGTTACTTTAACTGACAATTGCACGGTCATGCAACGCTGCACCCAGTGAAATTTACGTCCTTTTTTTCCCAAAAAAAGAGCTTTCTTTCGGTGAGGACGTCGATGACGAAACGCGTAGGGCGGAGCTTGATTGATGTGACGTCATTACGTTTTTGGCTGCCAGCTACTGCGCATGTGCTGAGTAGCCAGGCTCGTTTATGTGATTGCTGTTATGCTGTTGATGCTGGTGTCGGCTGGGACACCTCTTGAGTAAGTGCAATGAGTACCTAATAAAGGAATTGGTTTTTATAATATTGCACCATGAAGTCTTTCTGTTTCTCTCGAGTGCTTGGCATTTCCCCCCATGGATACGTTTGAAGGTGGTCCTTTATCTATTGGAGAAGTGGATTTTCGTTTAACTACAAAGTTTTTTATCCTGTTATTTCGATCGATGAGGATCGGTGTATTGCAGAGTTTCCGTTTCTGAAGATATATTTATGGATGATCTGCCATTATATTATCAAGGTTTTTTGGTGAAATTTTTCATATTTAGACACTTTTTTTGCACAAAATTTTTTTTGCACTTAAAAGTTTTTTTATATATTTTTTTGTGGTATTGGCATATATATATTTTTTTCTGGACTTACGATTTGATGATTTCTTTATATATATTTATACACATTTACTAGCGCAAATTATTTATTTATTGGTACACTTTTTATATATGGTGATTTTTTGCAGCTGGTACACTATTAGTAAGTTATATAATTTTGACCATAGGCGCTATTATTAATTTTTCTTATTTGATCACCTGTGCGGCTTTAATTTTTTGTGCTATAAACAAAAAAAGACTGACAATTTTGAGAAAATTAATATATTTTGGACTTTTTGCTATTAAACACATCCAGTAAAAATTTTTTTAAAGAATCAAATTTCGTCATAAGTTTAGGCCAAAATGTATTCATTCAGTGACACCAATATAGTGGTCAGTGCTAATAAAAAGCACTGACACTGTACTAATGGCACTGGGCAGGAAGGGGTCAACATGTGGGGCGATCAAACGGTTAACTGTGTACTATGTGCCGATTTATTATGTGCTCCCCAAATCATCACTGACTGTGGAATCTTCACACTGGACCTCATGCAACTTGAATTCTTTGCCTCTCAACTTCTCCTCCAGACTCTGGGACCTTGATTTCCAAATGAAATGCAAAATGTACTTTTATCCAAAAAGAGGAATTCTCCTCTGGTTCAGGAGTGGCTTGACACAAGGAAAGCAACAGTTGTAGCCCATGTCCTGATATATATTTCTGTGTGGTGGCTCTTCAAGCACTGGCACCAGCTGTAGTCCACTCTTTGTGAATCTCCCCCAAATTCTTGAATGGCCTTTACTTTACAATCCTCTCAAGGCTGCGGTTACCCTTGTTGCTTGTGCACCTTTTTCTACCACATTTTTTCCTTCCACTCAACCTTCCATTAACATACTTGAATACAGCGCTCTCCTTGTGGAGGGTGTCAGTGATTGTCTTCTGGACAAATATCAAGACAGCAGTCTTCCACATGATTGTGTAACCTACGGAACCAGACTGAGAGACTATTTAAAGGCTCAGGAAACCTTTACCCCTTAAAAGGATAACTCCACTTTTATGCGACACAAGCCATATTGTAATTGAATTTTATAAAAAATTACCTTCCCTTTTCAATCTGCAGTACTGTAATTTTCTGTAAAATGCAATGCAATATGACTGCCTGGAGCCATTCTGTACACCGAAGGTGCACAGAACACGCCCAGAAACAGGAACATCATTTACGGCTTGTGTGATTGGCTTACTAGTTTTCCCAGAAGTCTGCACGAAGATTCAGGTCAGATTTCAGGCATTCCCTGCAACAAAAATGTCATTTTTGGATTTCATGTCTAAAGGAATGCAGAGCCAACAATTTTACTCATTACACACAGGTCTCTCCCCTGTCAGTTCTACACGATGATCGCAGGGGGGTGGGAGCGGGGAATCTCCGTCCGGGACCCGGTGATTGACATCCCTAGCAGCCAATGGTGGCATGGGTAGTGTGAGATTGAGTTTAGCTTCATTTAACACCCCCCCCCCCCCCGGTCTGCTGTCCTGTACTCATTTCTCCTTAGTGGTATCTCACTAATACAGGAGGTGTGTTACTGACCAGATCACCAGGTGACGAGAGAAGCAAAAAAAAACCAAAGGATCAATGTGGGAGAGTCCCTCAGAGTTGGGGCCTCACAGCTCCTTCTCAGAGGCACGCCTTCTTTTTTTTCTCACTTTTTGAGACGTTCTCCTCCCCTATAAACTATCTGGACCGTGTTCCTACGTGGTATGATTATATATTTATTTATCATGAAGGCCACCCTCTTCTTCTCTCACAGGGACCCTTTGGCATAACGCTACATATTTAACATCATGGTTCACCTACTCTATTCTATAGATATTGGGAAATGCCAACTGAGGTTCCATGTCTTCCCTTTGGGCCCAATGGGTACTTTAAGCCATCCTATTGGTACTGTCCAACGTGCTAATTACAGGTTCTTTTCTCTGATTGGAGTAGACTTATAGATCTTTGCCAAATAGCAAATAGATTGCAGCCGCTCCTGTCTGACCCCATTCACTTAGAGCAGGTGAGCTTTGTAACTGGATGAGAGGCAAGGGACAACACTTTACAAATGCTTCTCCTGACAAACTATGCCCGTACCCATGATTTCCCTCTGTGTCTCTTGACGATCGATGCAGAAAAAGCATTTGATCGCGTTGACTGGCAGTTCCTCTGATTGTCTTTACAACATATAGCGTTAGGTCCTGACATGTTAGCTAGGATATTATCCTTGTACTCTTCTGCATCTGCCAGAATTAAGATTAACGGCTCCCTATCCAGAATGGCACCCGAAAAGGATGCACCCTGTCTCCTCTCCTATATGTCCTTACTATGGAACATCTGGCAGCAGCCCTACGGCACAATCCTACTATCAATGGAATATCAGTGGGTCCCCTCCATTCCAAACTGGCCCTCTTTGCTGATGACCTACTCCTATTTGTAGCACAGCCACATATCTTCTTACCCTCTCCTTACCCTCTATAATGCAAGAATTCCACAAATTCGGCCGGGTTAGTAACTTCAAAGTGAATTATACCAAATCAGAACTGCTGAACATCTCCTTAGCTTCAGAGATTTGCAGCATATTTCATCCACCTTCCCTTTCAAAACCAGTTCCACCTCTATTTGATATTTAGGAATTCAGATACCCACAGGGATGTCCCAACTCTATTCAAAAAAACTTTCTGCACCTACTCCATCGGACTCAAGCAGACTTATCATCTTATGCTGTCAATAAACGGTCCTGGTTAGGTAAATACCTTGAAGATGGATGTTCTTCCCCGCTTTGTATATCTATTTCAAATGATCCCTATCTATCTTCCCTCTTCCTCTTTTCTGAAACGACGCCGTCTATTCTCCTCTTTTATCTGGAATGCGCACCATCCCAGGATTCATTGGACCACCCTCTCTCTGCCAAAAATTAAGGGAGGAGTGGGAACTCCTGACGCCTCTCTCTATTATAAAGCAGCTTGTCCTTACTTGTCTAAGCTATGGGTCCAATTAGAACAACACGTGTCCTTTTGATATCCAAGATTTACCTTGGACCCCATGTTCTTGTCTTCCAAACCTTTCAACTCTTAGTGATCTTACTAGACATACTCTTCGTGTATGGGATCACGGGATGTCTACATATGGCTTCTCCAAATACACAGAACCCATGACCTCATTCTTTGGAACCCTGGCTTTCCCCCTGGCTCGCTTTGTCCGGAGCATGAAACAAACAAAATCACAGGAGACTCGCCCACGTCCTTCGTGCAGACCCATCTTTTATGATGATGGCCCCAGGTAAGCCCTCCCCTCCAGCTTTGTCTACCTGGTTACAGAGACAGCAAGTAGTGTCTTATGTACATTCCTTTCCTTCTGTTTCTGACATTCTAACTTTGTCAACTGCCTTTGAATCCATCTTACGTCAATCCAAACCTCCCATCCATGTAGTTTCCCAATTATACTCGATTCTTCTATTATTAGCATCCTCTCATGACCTTCCTCCATATACCCGCACCTGGGAGGTAGATCTACAACACACTA